ACAGATGCACGTTTTTATTTTGACAAACATATTTTTTAGGCATACAGAAAACTTATTATGCGAAATTTACCACTAAAGATTTCACGTTCAGTTATATGAAACGCAGGCGTACGTGAGAGCTGAATTGGAAACCTCTGAATCGCACACGAATGAGGGACATCGTTCCAAATGCATTCTTATCATCAAAAAAATGAGTAGTAGGCGCGAGAGAGTAAACATCCACTTGGGCCGTCTCAGATGAGGCAACGCAGAGCGTTGGATAATAATTAACGTGCAGCTATGCCAGGTCTTTTGACCAAGAACCGGACCCAGCATAGCTGAGCCCGACGTGTTGAAGCATCCCAGTAACATCACTAACCAAATATTTATGTGTACTAAGATTACGAGATTTTATATACTTGCGACTAAATTACGTAAAAATTTTTCAAAAAATTATGAGCAGGGATTGCTTACGACTGAAGGGAGTGAGAAGCACATGCTTCCGTTCGATTTTGGTCAGAAAAGGGAGCGGTAATTTAAAAGGAAAAATAATGACCTGACTGCCCCCGTAGATTCACTAGGCAGCTATGAAGTCCAACTGCCCTCTGAAGGTGAGTGACCCTCCCTGTATGGTTTAGTCAAAGACCAGTCGGGAAGGGCGGCCTCCACTTGCAATATGAGGGAACCGCCCACCGAGAGCTGCTATTGTACTACTGTTCCAGGCCACGCCCTTAGATCCCTCGACGAGCTTGAACACTGCGTCATGGATTTGTCAAAGTTCAGGCATTCCTAAATTGATAAAACTGCGGTTGGTTTATTTGTAAGACCCATAGTGTGTTTGGCCTTGCTGATGGAACTTGGACAGCCGCGACGATTTTTGAGCCAATATACACCAAAAGTTTACTGCGAATGCTTACTAGGCAAATGATAAGCAACCACTACTTATCTAAAATGGTGCTCTGAAAAGGAAATGCCCTGCTTTTCGTACCTGAAAATAGCTAAAATCGACAAGGCTGAATGGGAAAAATGTATGAAATTCGAATCCAGAAGCAAAAAATGTCACCATTTGAGCTGTTAGGTGCTGTGAATAGCAAAACCTTGATACTTACGCAAAAGGCAAACTTTTGATACGTAGCTAATGAATGTGAGCATGAGAGCAATTGCTGTAAATGGTCTCCATGCGTTTCTCAACTTGCCTAGCTGTATTAGGAATAGAGACGTTATTGCTTTTTAAAATATGAAAAATTACTGTTTTCGATTTACCTTTTCTCTATTCTGTCTAAGGTAGTGCAACACTATGAGATGCTTCGATAGCGCAAGCGAACACCAACACAAAGCGATTGCTAATCGAAAAGACCTAAAAAATTCTTTTCTGTGTCTTTTAGGTTAGCCGTTCTACACCAAACACTCGACAACAGCAATCGCAATGCAATTCACAAGAACAATAGAACAACTGGCCGCTGAAATCAAGCGAACTAGTGAACTGGACAGGCGCATTTCGGCCTACCACACTATTATATTCCTGCTCGCTCACAACAACTGTTCAGCCTATTTCAATCACTCATTTTACTCAGTCTGGAACTTCGACACTGAATTTTCCTTCAGTACTGGGAAAAGGGAGAAAAGGCGGAGGGGAGAGGAGGAGCGAGCTAGGCAAAACCTTTTCCAATTCGGCGTTTCACTCTAACTGCTTACTTCTTTTTGTGAAAACAAAGAATGATAATTTACTCAATTGAAGGTTAAAAACAGCTGCTCGGTTATAAGGGCTATGTGTGACTTAATCCGGACGTATCTGGCTGGCGTAACTTCCAGTTCCCTACGTTTTACTTTGATATTTAAAGGGAGAATGAAGTATACTAAAATTTTGCAGCAAAACGTTCTTTGCGTATGCTGCAGTGACTCTAATCTGGTTCTGGTTCTATTTTTATAGAAACGCAAAGCATTAATAACAAAACAGTGATCCGCTTTTGCTAACTGCAGAAAGAGATAACGAAAAACAGAAACGGACAAAAAGACCCACAACAAGGTGTCCTAACCAAGCAGTGGTGGCGCTTAAGATGAGGTGGAGAAGCACAACGAACATGTATATTCTTGCAACTAAAATGAAGAAATATAACATGAAAAAGGAATTATTAGTGTTTTGCTCAAGCTGGTTTGACAGCAAAGCGTTCTTTCGGTGGTTAGTAACCCTGCGGTTGAACAGTGAACTTTCTCTTGACTACACAACTGAAGAGAGTTTAAAGTCCAGTTGCGACGGTTATTAGCTGCAGAATAGGATGCCTTGAAATGCAGCTGAGGTGTACAGGTGAGCAATATACAGGCAACCAAGAACATGCACCTGCGGCTAATGCTGACACAATTGCGCTGATCAGCTGTGTTCCCAAGCCCCGAATTTCTCCTCCTTCATAGTTCGGATGCAACACGGGTGTCTATCCATCCACCTATCCTATCCACACTTCGTTCATCCCTCTTTACGTCATTATTAGAGGTTATATGAGTGCACCCAAGTACCATCGCTCACTGTGCTAATCACATATGAAAGCGTTTTTTTTTTTTTTGATTTAGGATAGGAAGGGATCGAATAGTCATATTCTATTGATTCATGCTGATTACTGTTAAAAACGCTGAAGCAAAATGTTATATCAAAGAATTTCAGTTGAGTTACTAGCTTATATGTTTGCCAAGAAGACGGGATTTAGCTGCAGGCTTCCATGCTTCTGTGCGGTTTCTTGAGCCGTATAAAATGAGAGACTGGAGTTAAGAAAATCTGGATTTTTTATCGCGAAGCAACCGTCATCCAGGCTTTTCAACAGCACCGTGAACCGAAGGCCCGTAAGTGTGCAGCAACTGCTTGTGTTGAAAAGACAGGCTGAAGTCCTCAAGAAAATGCCTTAAGTAGGCCCACTACGGGTCAACTGTGCCGTATTCTGATGGAGCTTCTACCTATTTGTAATGTTATCAGAAAATGCATCCGAGAAGGAAAATGCGAACCTTCGGCGCGCACTTCTGTTGTACAAAATAACTGTCGGTGCAAGATCTTTGATGTTTGTTTGTTCTTAAGGACTGAGTTAGCCGCCAACGAGCTGAACACCTGAGCACTACAGTTTGCTTTGAGTGCTATTCTAATGAGCCGCTCTTCGCGTCTTGCGACAGGTGCACACAGAAAGACCAGCATACAAAAGACATACACATCATACCTACACATACACCCACACACGTACAAATACATGTATGGCGCGGAGGTAGTAATGCTTCCCTCATGCTGACAGTGGAGGGTTTGACTCCACAATAGGAGTAACGGACTCTTTTTCGACTTGTGATTTAATTTTTTTTAATATTTAAACTTTTTAATATTTTTTAAGTAATTTTTAATTAAGTGATAATTAATTAAACATTAATTAAGTGATTAATAATTAAGTAATAATTAAAGTAATTTAATATTTAAAGCACACTTGGATCTCAAGCCCGCCAGTGGCATGTATCTCAGCGTTCTCCAAAAGCGAAAATCATTGACAGTTTTGCTGGTAGGTGGTTAACATTGGTACCACTCCGACTATTTCCGACCATCCCAGTTTATTATGGAAAATGAATATCGGAATAGTTTTGATCTTGATATACGCATACATATATACATTTTGAAGTGCGCATACACATGTTTATACATATAAATTTATAATACAAGTATGCATATATAGAGGCAGCTCGGATTCACGTTTACCAGCAGATGCCTGCCTGTTTGTGTCTGGAAAGCGAAACTGATGGATGTTCCGATGCTTCTATGTGTCAGTAAGCAGAAATCGTTCTTTAAAAAAGGATCCTTTTGAATGTACAATACTAAAGTAATGTCTAAACAGAGGATGCAGCTCACAGATGCAAAGTTCGTGAATCTTCAGGATGCGACGAGCATGGCGCCCTTCCGACAGCGAAACGCTCTGCAAAAGGCATTGGGATTAGTCTGGAGTTAGCCAATTTATAATGAAAATTATCGAGATATAGGCCAAGAAGTGCGCCAGATGGATGGATAGCTGCTTCTGGCTGCTGTGCAGCTGTTAGCCAATAACGAGGAACAGAGTCTGCTTATCATCTGCTCCGCTTCCACACAAATATTCATCTGTTCCAATGTGCCACTACTCTCACTGAGTAGCCAAATGTTCGGATTTCACATTGCAGATATCAATATTTTCCATATGTCATCCGACAACTGCTCTTTTGGCTTCATTTTATTGCAGACGAGCACAGTTGAGGATGGCACACACCAGAAGGGAGTACACATTTCGATCTGAAGCCAAAAAAGAGTATAAGTTATCTGCTGTCTAAATGAGTAAAGTGGGATCTCAAAAGGAAGGCATAATCCTAATTCTGACCTCTGCTAGACTGCCTGTTTGGGCCGCGTGCGCTAGTCAAAACGACTTTCCGTCTTCGTTTTGTGCCTCAAAGAGTGTTAAAATATAGAAAATGTCGCTAAATTTAGCTTTTACAGTTCCAATTATTCGCTTTTAACGCATTTTCCCCAGTTTGTCTAAGCCTCTGTTAAGTAAATTTAATCATCAGCAGTTAATTTTACAG